GGGCACAAGGAGGTACATGATGACATTCTTGCCACTTGTGTATACACTTGAAATTTTTGATAAGAGAAGGAAGGAAGGAACAAAGGAAATAAAGGAAGTGGGGGAGTCAAGGGAGGGAAGAGAGGAAGGAGGGAGGGAGGGAGGGAACCAGGAGCTGTGACCATGTTCTGGATTAAATCCAGTTTGGATTTAATCTGTATGTTGCTGCATGGTCTTGGGCAATTCATTGCTTTCTCATCTGTAAAATGGGGARGGAACCAGATGAGCTCTGGGATCCCGCTGAGCTTTTGCACTCCATGGTTCTAAGCAGGGCTTAGCCATCAAGGACCTATCTGCTCCTTTCTCCAGTGTTCCTAAATGCTTTGGCGTTCTTCCTGGGAAGGACAAAGCAACAMACTGAAAATGGCCAAAGGTTAATGGTGATTTTAAAGCAAACAGAAATGTGCATCCACTGATGTTCAAGAGGCCTTTAACCTCACACGCTTCCAGCGCTCAGAGTCCTCCACTCCTAGCCACTGAAGGGAAATAAATGACCCTGTACGAATGTTTTCAAAAAACTTAAGTTTTAAGGTCGWCAACTCTCCAGGCCCCCTAAAAAGAAATGAAACATCATTGGCTGGGACTCTTCTTAGCAGAGAGTGTAAGAAAGAATAAATAACAGGTTAAAACTCTTGCTACACAAATTTACAATGCAAACAAATTTAGATGAGAACTAGTCAATTTATAGAAACAGTGAAAATGACGCAGGTATGAGGGACAGAAAGGTTCCCAGCAATTATCCCCCTCACCTTCAGTCTGAGAACACAAGCTCTGAGAGGGGCTGCTGGCCTCCGGCTCATACAGCTGGGGAGCTGCACCCTTCATCCCAAGCTCCCTGGGCCCAGGTCATCCTTTTATTTGGGGAGGGGGTGTTTACCAGGGATTGAACTCAGGRGCACTCAACCACTGAGCCACACCCCCAGCCCTGTTTTGTATTTTRTTTAGAGACAGGGTCTCACTGAGTTGCTTAGCACCTCACTTATGCAGAAGCTGGCCTTGAACTCATGATCCTCCTGCCTCAGCCTCCATAGCCACTGGGATTACAGGCATGCACCACCACTCCAGACCCATGTGGTCCTGAAACCAGACTTCACAAGTTTGTCTAAGAACTTGAGAAACACTTTTTTGCTAACATGAGGCAAACRCTTAAATTGAACCATATTGAAACCGCTGTTAGTCTAGATCAAGAATGATAGATATTGGCAAAACACTCATTTCTGAATGTTAGTAAAAGCTTCTCCAGGAATGGAAATCACCCTCTATAAAACAGAACAGGGGTCTCACAGTGTAGAGGCCCTAAGACCCTCGAGACAGGGAGAAGAGCAGATTAACACACAGGGAAGAACTCAGGCATGTACAAAGATGCAACTGAGGGTCTGTGCTAGCTTCTTGTTGCTGTGACAAATATCTAAGGAAAACAGCTTGGAGGAGGAAAGTTTTGCTTTGGTGCATAGTTTCCGATATTTCGTCCAAGGCAGAAGCATGGCAGAAGGTGTAGTGGAGGAAAGCAACTCAGTTCATGCCAGCCAGGAAGTGGAGGAGGTGGGGGGTGGGGGCAGTGAGGAGGGGCAGGGAGTGGATAAACTTTGGGGTGCACCCCCCACCCACTTCCTCTCTCTCAGTTCCACCTCAGGTGGCCCATCCAGCCATCAGTGGATTAACCCACTGGTAAGGTCAGAGCCCACAGGATCCAATCACTTCCCCCAAAGCCCYACCTCTGAACACATCAGACCTGAGGGACATTCCAGATCCTAACCATAACAGAGGCCCAATATTACTGGTTAAAAAAAAAAAAATGGGAAGAGCAAACAAAATCACAAAGACTATCGATCCACACATCTACAGCTCCACAGGTAAAACAGGGAATCAGCATTTATAAAGGATCCTTTCTCTAAAAGCAGGATGATCAGCAAAGCGGGAGAAAAGAGATGCCACCCAGGCAAAGATCAGCAGTGCATCTGGCTGGGAGGCGGAGTCTGCCAGGCAACAGAGGCCACCTGCCCAGGATCAGTGGAGCCTTCCTCCCCAGTGATGAGGTGAACTCACCAGGCCCCCAGCACTGGGTCACTTTCTCCAGGAAGCCTTCCTSGGCTCATACACACACACACTCCATTCACTGGTCTGTTTCCTGTTAGCCTGAAGCTGCCTGAAGGCAAGAATGAGCTCATTGTATTCCCAGTGCCCACCAGAACTTACCTTAGAGTGAGCCCTCGGGAAATACAGACAGAAAACAAGAGGCAGCTAAAATGATCGCCCCTGTGAAGGTCAGGGAAGGGGAAGATCTACACTTTGGAATAGGTCCTTGATTCCATGACCTTCCGAACCCTACAGAACAGCAGCTGACAATGGAAAAAAAGTCTCAGGAACTGGAAGGASAGAAAGAATTCGCAGGGTAGGAAGAAAGAATTTGAAAGAGCTGTAAGATAAGTCTCCCTGAAGTTGTCCTACTTAAATGAACCCAATGCCCAGCACCCTGCAATGCAGAAACAGGCAGTGCCCGAGGTTGCTCCGGGGTCCTGGCGTCCGCCCTGCCCACTTGAGCCCCAGGCCCTCGCCAGCATCCCTGCAGAAAAGGCAATGGGTCACTGACTTGGCCTTTCCCAAAAGAAGGGACCCACCCTGTCTCCAGGTGGGAGTAAACAAGAGGAAGGCTGCGGGGATTGTGGAAAAGCCAAGAGAGGCCCAGATAAACAGGAGTACTCCCCATTTGTTTCCAGAGCCTCGCGGTTCTGCATGGATTTCATCTAAAGAGCACAKCAGRGACTGGRTCAAGAAGGMRCTGGGAGAGAGACAGAAGCTGGCCAAGCCCAGAGGGAAGCCACATCCACTACTCGTGCCACCTGGCAAGCTGCTCTGGAAATTAACATCATACAGGCAGAAACACACCTGCTGTACAGGGCCAGCTGCGGCAGCTCCAATCAGGGCCCAGCAGCCGAAACACCTGAATTCTTAGAGGACCACCACGGGTTTCTCACTCAGAGTTCTCAGTGAAGGCCCTTCACTCAGTCTGCCTAGCATTCTAGAAMACTGTGCTAYTATCACATGTATACAGCTATTCAGATTTTTCACTTGTATGAATTTTGAGTATTTGTTTTTCATCTATGTTGTCATTGATCTAAATGTTTTTTATATAACATATAAAAAATATATATCCTTACAAGAAGATACACAGTACTTTGTTATTGTTATCCCTTAGGACCTGGTGAGATGTCTTTTGTATTTGGTATTGCTTATTGTGCTTTTCTCTCTCACTTGGTYTTGCTCTCATCAAGTTTATTGAACCTTTTGAAGAATAAAAAAAAAAAACTCTCTCTATAAATAAAGTGTCTGATCTCTAGATCAGGAAAGGAAAGGTAGACAAGCCAGCATTTCTATTCTTTTGATTCAAATATTGGAAAAATCAAGCCATGACAGTGCTTGCAGGTCCAGGTCTTTACAGAGGAGACCTGTTCCTTTAATCTGCCGTTTGCTTGACTCTGCTCCCTAACACACAAGGCAAGAGCAGTTCCAAGCCTGGGCTCTGGGCTCTGACTGGTTTCAGGACCCCACTGCAACACTCACTGTGTGAACTTCCACAAGCTGCTTTCTTTCCTTGTCAACCTCCGTTTCTTCATCATGAAATGAAGACAGTAATAAACACTTGCTGCTAGGGATGCTGTAAGGAATAAGAGATTATAAGGGTACATAAAGCACTTGCTTAAATAGTCTATTATTATGATTAGTATATTGCTGCTGCTGTTACTGCTACTACTGCTGTTACCAAGCAAACGGTATTAGTTGCTACACGACTCATCAGGTAATCCTTAAAATAACAGGATCCCACATTTTACTGCTAGGCCTCAAAACTACATCTGTGTCACTATCAAGAAGGCATTTGGGGTGATAAGAGGGATTTTTAAAAATATATTTTTTAGTTGTTGATGTATCTGTATTTTTTACTTATTTATCTGTGGTGCTGAGGATCGAACCCAGTGCCTCATACATGCTAGGCAAGTGCTCTGCCACTGAGCCACAACCCCCAGCCCAGATTTTTTTTTTTTTTTTTTTGATGGGCAGGGAATGACACACACATAGTGTGTAAATAACCTGCAGATTTGAAGTGACCATGAACCCTGTTTCGTTATATCCGTCTCAGGTGTTACAGACACACAAGAGGAGGGATGAGTTGAAGAGGTACTAGGAACCTGCAAACAACACCCCTTTCTCAGAGACATGCATCTGCAAACATAAAAGTTGGATAATGAGTCCATATGGCTCCTCCATTCGCAAGAGCTCAGGAAAGAACGGTGTCGCTGTTCATCTCCAGAATCAGGACTTGAGCTAAATTCTCTCCATGCAGGATAGCATTGCTCTGTCCCTTCTCTGACGATTATCACGTGTTTCTTCTTTCACAGTGAGGGACTCCTAGGTAGAAGCAGTGATTGCCTTCTCTGCCACTATTTGTAAACCTTGGCCAGCCACTGGGATAGCTAGATCCTTTCAGTGATTTAGGTTTTGTTCTTGTGGCCATAATGAATCACTTCTGCGTCTTTGTACAACACTTCCCCTTCCTTCCACTCCCTGAATGTGTCTCTGCCTGTGAGTGTGTAGGTTTACTCTTCTCTACATAATTTTCAGGTAATGCGGGTTCATCCTAGCAGTAGACATTATTGTAAAATTCAAAATATATACTGGAAATGTACCTGTAGGGGTACCTAATTCATTCCTATGTCCTGAATACCTGCATGTTTACTTGGCCTACAGTATGGCTTAATCTTGGACCTGTTCTTCTACCTGCCAAGAGTCAATTGAACAAGAACTAGCATATTATTGGTGGGTGTCCAAAATTCAAATACATAAAGAAAAAGCACTCTTGATATTTGGAAAAAAAACAAAAAACCTTTTCCCTTCCAAACTAATTTTAGACATACTGAAATGTRCTTACTCGACATAAAAACATGCAAACAAGACATTCTCCATACTGAATTAGGAAGTTTATTAAGCTCCTAATCTCCATGTCTAGGATGTAAACATGGATTTACATGCATTGTCTCATTTTGTGGATCTTACATGCATGTAGTCTTCATCAGCTGGACCTCGGAGTCTACTTGTCAGTAATTTACAGTTAGCTCAATGTGAGTAAATGGCAAATACAGGATGATGCATAAGCCGAAACAAAACTCCCACCCAATATCATTTACTTTGTTTTTGTTTTTTTTTTTCCAAAACCATATCACAACTCTCTCTTGTAAAAAATAAATTTCAGAACGAGGCATTTCATTGACCTCACTGAGAAAAATAAAGATAATTCTATCATTTCAGAATTCAGCAATGAATGTCCAACTATGGCTAAAAGGTACGCCCTGAGAATTAAATGAATTTAACAAACCCATTAAGGTTTATAAAGCTGTGTTAACCTAATGTCAGGAAGGGGCACAAGATACAGGCACAAATGTCCCTGCTCATTTTGCTGTGCAATTCTCCAAGGATGCGGTGTTATAAACATCCTCATTGTCTTCRATGCTCGAAGCGTCTGTGGAATCGGGATCGCTCACCAYGATGCCCACGGAAGAGAGACTGGTAATGAAGGCATGCACCCGCTGTGCATAAATGTCCCTAATGTTAAAGTAAGGTAGCTCATGACTCTTCTCCGGTGGGTCCTCACTGCACTGGTCCACATCAATGTCCTTTTGCTTCTGGTAGTACTTGGAAAACTTGTTGAAGATGATGGTGAWAGGAAGGGCCACCACCAATATGCCGCAGATGATGCACGTGCTGGCGATAATCTTCCYGGCCAAGGTGACAGGATGGGTGTCTCCATAGCCCACGGTGGTCATGCTGATGGTGGCCCACCACCAGCAGACGGGGATGCTGGTGAGGCTGGATGTGTGGTCATCTTTCTCCACGGAGTAGATCAGCACGGAGAAGATGGAGATGCCGACAGACAGGAAGAGAAGCAGCAGCCCAACTTCATGGTAGCTGTGTCTCAGCGTGGCCCCCAGAGACCGAAGTCCTACKGAGTGCCGGGCCAGCTTCAGAATTCGGAAAATCCTCATAAGGCGAAGGATCTGGACCACCTTGCCCATGTTCTCAATGTCCTCGCTCTCTTCTTCCTTGGTGTCGACCGCCAATGTGGCATAGAAAGGAATAATGGAGACAAAGTCAATTATGTTCAGAGGATTCTTCCAGAATTTCTTTTGACAGGGAACAGCAACCAGCCGGATGGCAAGCTCCCCAGTGAACCAAGCGATACAGGCGATCTCCACACCCTCCAGCACAGGGTCGTCCACCTCCCCATCCTCATTCTGGAACTCCGACATGCTGTGGACACACATGGCCACTATGGAGGCCAGCACCACGCTCAAGGAGGAGATGGCAATCAGCTTGGCAGACAGGCAGTACCCAGGGTTTTCCATTCG